GCTGTGAAGTGTGTAAACCTGGCGATTCACAGACCTGTACCCCTGGGGATAAAAAGATATTATATGTTTACAAAAAATAAAATTAAAAAAAAAAAAAAAAAAAAGAAGTGCTTCTACAGGGGGCGAAGGGTACACTTCTTGTGATGAGTGCTGAGTAATGTATAGAATTGTTGAATCATGATATTGTACACCTGAAAATAAAACAACACTGTATGCTAACTATAGTGGAATTTAAAAAACAAATAATTTTTTTTAAAAAAGCAGTGCTTTTGGGGGGTCCTGGGTCATGCAGTCAGTTAAGCACTTGACCCTTGGTTTTGGCTCAGGTCATGATCTCAGGGTGGTAAGACTGAGCCCCAAGGCGGGCTCTGAGCTCAGTGAGGAGTCTGCTAAAATTTCTCTCTCCCTCTCCCTCTGCCCTTCCCTGGATTCCCTCTCTCTTCTTCAAATAAATAAATAAATCTTTTTTAAAAAAGTGTTTCCATAAATAATTTTGTAAAGGAAATGATCACTATAGATGATTTTTAGCATAAATCTGGGTTCTAACAGAATGTGCTATACCGTTCATGAAATTATCCTAAATATAATACTAGAGAGTTTATCTGAAAACTCTTGCAGAGAAGATAGCAAAGGGAACTCCTGATGGTCTGTGTCATTCAGATGTAAAGAAATGCCCCAAGTGAGGGAAAGGTCTGAACGCTAACATAAATAGTTATTGCAAAGCCTACACACTTTACAAGACACACGTGTCACATTTGTGGTTTCTGTAGGGTTTATATGAAGTGAGTTTTCTGGCTGAATAACCTTTGATAGATCTGTGTTTCCTAGCAACTTCCATTCTCCCCTAGCTCTTGGGATAACAGATTTTATTTTTATATAGGAACGGTGGGAAAGAAAGGATTTAGAGAGAAGCAGAATTAACCAGAAAAATGCCACAGCTGCTAAGATCACTTACAACAAGAGCAAACAGTCCCGCAAACATCAGCGGGTCCTAAGAGTTTCCCTCCATGACAGCCTAATCCTAATGCTGGAGCATCAGGAAAGGTTGCGTTCTAGAAACTATCTTTACTAAGGCAGGCAGCATCTAATATATTTGGGGAATATTCCTTAAGAGAAAAGGCTAATTTTTTTTAACATTTTTTAGCTAATCTTAAAGGTGATCATCTTCTGATAATTTTTATTTGTCCACAAGTCCTTGTTTAATAATACAAAGTAAATGAGGTTATCACTGTATGTGCTGTAGCCACCTAGAGTACTTAGCAGAAAAAGGAGCAATCGTTTCGTGGTAATAAATCACCATAAAATTTAATTTAAGGGACTGGATTACCAAGCATGATGTAGGGAGAAAAACACCATGAGGGATCTGATCTGGTCATGTACAGAGTGTTAACAAAAACCGGAAAACTCAATCTCTCGGGGACAGCTTTTTGATTCTCAGATCAGCTATCCATCTCTCTTTGCCTGAGTCAGCACAGAGGCATAGCGTGCAAGTGTTCCCCCAAAAGCAGGAGCCAAAAGCCACCAATGGAGTGTGGGGGGAGGGGGGGAGTGGATGACGTTATGAAGAAAAGAAATGTCTTTCCCAATTATTCTTACCTGTTTCTTCCAGAATCTCTGAATCCTTTAGCAAAAGGGTTTCGATCAATTTTTAATCTGGTGATCTGGAAACAAAGAACATAAATTACATTTATATTAACTGACTCCTTTTTGCATTGCTCCTGGAAAATTAACAGAAATCACTCTGTTGGTAACAGCTGTTGTTTTTATTTAGATTCTTTTAAGTCTGAGATTTGAATGGAAGTTGATATAGGACTTGGGCCTGGCACCCAGATGTCTGACCCACCTGACCCACTTCTCCCTAAAAACTGAGGTCTTCTCAGTATGTGACTGTAAACTCCCTTCTGCTCACATTTCTTACCCCAGAAAAGGTGATAAATCACTTGCCTAGACACACAAAGGCATGGAACTAGAAAACTGGGCAATGGTCAAGTCCGTGGTACATAACATACAGGAAGAACTTGAAAAGCCCTTGTTGGGTGAATGAGCGAGTAAGCGAGTGAGTGAATGATGAACAAATGGAACCAGTCAATCCAATCCAAAGGAATCAGAACCTTAGGCAACCTGCCTCAACCTGAAAGAACCATATAATTGACCAGACTTACCATCTCACTCTAGTTTTCCCTCCCTCCCCTCGAGATAGTTCCTTTAATGACCTAAAATGTTCTTGTAAAAGACACTGAAAGTAGCTACACTTTTCTCAAGTTTGCACCCAAAGGAAAATCTATAAACGGGGGACTCAGTGGGGCAGGCTACATCCAGTCTCCAAGGCTTACAAGCAAATCAGAAGACATGAATGACTATGTGACCCAGGCTGGATGGGTCCTTAGGAGGCATCTGGTTGAACCTCCACTGAGAGCATAAGCCCCTCTCTATCACATCTTATCTTAGCCCCTCGAACTCCTCAGCGAGGGTTGTACACACCACCCCCATGCCCCCAGACTAGACCAAGCCTGACCAACAAATTCCACATGTGTTCTTACATTTCCACTTTCAGCCTTGGTCATGGGAGGCATTTTTGATATTTTTTTGTCTAAACCAGATGTTAATGACTCTCTAGCTTCAAGCAACAGAGACTTTGGGGTGGGGGTCAGGGAGCTCAGGGAAGGAGGAAAGGTGCTTTTAATGGAAGGTGATTGTAGGAAGAAGGGAATCTCATTATTAAAGACGACCTTCCCACTTCTGATCATTGCAGAGCTTATCACCGGGACAGCTGAAGTTATTTCTTACACTGCAAGTCTTTTCCAAGTCTCTCTTCCATCTCACTTTGTCAGAGTGGAATTTCCCAAAGCTGAAATTTTTAAAGGTCTTTAAAAGGCAATGTGAGATTCTGAGCAACAGACTCTGACTTGAAAGTACCAAAGTTAATTTTTGTTTCTCCTAAAACATTCCTTGTTTCTAGAATGGCACACTAATAATGCAGCACTAATAATGTAGCAAAAGCAATTTTACATCTATTTTATAGACCAGAGCAGGAGCCTGAAGCTTTGGCTCTCTAAAGTCTTGTGTCTGCCTTGTGAATATTGTATGGACTTTAAAGACTGTCACTGCTTTTCTGTTTTTGACTTAAAATCCGTTCTTTCTTCCTCCATAATCCACAGCAATAAACCGCACACCATATTTTCTTTTCAAGTTAGGGTTATAATATTTTATTTTCTCTTTCAAGTTGGCTTATCCTGTCCAGCTCATTTATGATAGCAGTTTCTGATAGACGATTGTGCTGCCATGTTTTGGGAGCCTCCACAGACCCTGTAAATAAAATGACATTCTATTTCATGGGCCTGAGAGAAAAGGTTGAAAACCTGCTTCCCACAGCTCATTCTCTCTCAGGCCAAGAGGTCTGCATGGAGATTTAATAGAAAAGTGCCACCAAATGTTAGGAAAAACAGCACCTCTATACTTGTTTCAAAGCTTTTAATGTGAGATTTAGAGAACTTTGTGTAGTTGCATACCCATTATTTATTTGTCAAGTACCTTTGTGTGCAAAGCAAGGTGACAGAAGGCAAAGGTGACAGTGATACACAGTCCATATATGGCTGTGGACTGTCTGGTGCCCGCCGCCCCAGAAGCTTATAATCTAGAAGAAAAAAGCAGATGTATAGATGCTAACACATAGACGCTAACACAAGATGGGAATTGGTAAGGTTTGCAATGAAGGCAAAAGAGAGCTTCAGAGGGAGCCATGAGAGTCCCAAGTTGAAGGGCTCTGAGAGGTTTCACCTCAGAGACAGCACATGAGCCAGGCCTCAAAGGATGTGTAGGACTTGAACGCAAAGTGCAAAAAGGGGAGAAAAGAACAAGGGAAGCATTTCATAAGACACGGCCTACGGAAGACAGAGCATGGAAGCAAAGAAGCATGACAGAATGAAGGGCACACGAGAAGCACCGAGAAGCCCAATTTGACCAGAGCACCGGGTATGGGGAGAGAGGCAGCAAAAGAGAGCAAGAGAGGCTACCTGAGGCAGTATCTCAGAAAGCCTGTCTTGCCCTGATTAGGTGTCTGTATACCCTACAGGCAGAAGAGAGCAAGTTTAGCAATATAAACTGAACTATGACCCCAGCTGATGCTCACACTGACCACTTTGGTGAGGTCTACCCATCCTCTAGGTAACACAGACAAATAATTTGGAGGAATAAACCAATGTATTCTCAACCTCAATGATCCACAGTCCCACTGTTCCCATAGGAAGAGCCAGCCTGGCGGCATCCACTCTTCACGAGCATTTCATATAGCATAGAAAGGGAATGCAAATGACAGCTGGGCCACCAAGCATGCTGTTCTGTGGAGGACAAGGATGTGACATGAGGTGGATTCTTTTCAACAGGAAAAAGAAGGAAGAGATCTTCCCCTTCCGCCTCAGCAGAGTATGTAAAAAGAGGAAACAGACGAGAGAGAAGCAAGCCCGTGGACTTGCACGTGCCTTAGCTCCCTACTCAAACTGAAATCCAGGGGTGCAGGTGGGGAGCTTCAGAGGAAAACTGGCAGCCCCCTCCCCAACACACACACACATGCAGGGCCAGTCTCATCAAAGTAAAAATGCCACCTGGTCTGAAGAATCAGGAAGAGGACAAGTTAGCCTCTCCAGGCCTCCTATCGCCCTCTCTGTGGGGGAGTCAGGGACTTAGAGATTCTCACATGCCATGACAGGGAAGGTAGGTGGACCTAACACTAACACAGAGGCACTACAGCCTGGGCAGGAGCCCAACAGATGACCCAGCTGAGCCCCGAGGTGAGGCTGAGCCAGCCAGGGAGGGAGGCCCAGGAGGTCCAACTGAGGCAAAAATGCGATAGCACAAGTTCAGTAGTCTTCTATCAATAGAGCACGTCTACACAAGGAACCCAGAGTAGACATGATGGTCACCAGCAGAGCCCAGTGAGGCCCACAGCAAGGGACCCACAAGCCACCACGTGAGGACTCATAATCCCTGCAGCCTCTGCCCGGCGCACACACCACACATCTAGAGGCCATCTGGAGTAGTGTGGGAGACTCATTTAAATAGTCCATTTCCAACCCTACTCCATGGTTTATGTTTATCAACTAGACCCAAATATGGCTGCCAGTCTCCATCTCCCCACCTTCAACCAGAACACAGTCCTCCCTTCACTAAAACTGCTACATATAACTTCAGGACTAATCTCTCTTCTTCCACCCTTGTCCCTGTCCGGTCTACACAGCAACTCAAGTGATCTCTATTAACATGTATGTAGACCACGTCATTCTTGTCAGTGGCTACCCCTCTACTCAAAACTCAACCCAAACTCCTTGGCTGGTCTTGCAGGGCCCCTGGCTAGCTCCTCACCCCCACCCATTCCCCCCTATGCCTGGGCCACAAGCTCCTGTCAAGCTCGGCTGCTCTCAGAGCAGAAGTGCATCAAACTCAGGCCCCTCACACTCACTCTACCTCCAGTTTAAAAAAAAAAAAAAGTTCTTTTCTAGGCTCTTCACAGAGCCAATGCCTCGTCCTAGTCTCAGGCTAAATGTTGCCTCCTGAGAAAGATCCTCCCTGATCATCCCTCCAAAATAGGATGCTTTCAGGTAAGAACCAGGCCTATTTCCTACACCATTTTATTAAGAACCTAACATGACATGCTCCTTGGGTTCGATGAATATTTGTTCCATGAGTGAATGAGTGAGTGAGTGCATGACTGAATAATGTGGGAAAGAAGGATCACCAGTCGCAAAGCCGTAACAAGCCTTAGAGAATACAGACCAGACAACTCCCTCGATCCTATCTGCTTTCACTGCAGTACCACAGACAGAAGTCTCCAATGTCCTCCTGGGCAGAACAAGGTCTATTAATTACTGTCCGTGCAGCTAAAACTATTCTGCAGTGGTCATGTTCAAAACCTGCTCCAATGACAAGGAGGAGACATGGAAAGCACAGAGGTTGGGGAAGCATTTTTCTTCCCTGATTTGATTTCCATTATCCTGATTTGTACAGTCTGCATCATAGAAGACCATAGCACACGAAGACATGGTTGCTGGCTTGCCACCTTTGGTTTTAATCATTTTCACTGACTTTTTGCCTGGAAACGTCCAGACAGTTAATAAATGAGGTACACCTCCCAGTGCACAGTGCAGACATAAATCGCATAACCTACAAAAAAATGAAACTTCAATATCCTGCGTATGATTTTACAATACCAAGGCTGAAAAGGCCTTCCCTTTTTAACACTCTCTTATTCTTTTTTTTTTTAACCATATTGCTTTGAAAGGTGTTCATCAGGGAAGGAAAAAAAAAAAAAACTCAGCCCATATGAAAAGTGAAAAATAAAAACCTCTGCACTGATTTGATTGGAAAGTTAGAGCACAACTGGCTCGATAGTTTAGGACATAATGAGTGGCTCAGAACTCCTATTGGATTTGCTTACACAAACCTGGCTGTGGTTTCAGACTTCCTATCTGGTTCGTGTAGCCAATTCTCATCAAGAAATAAGACTGTGTTACCTGAGGAAAACAGGGCTGTGTCTTTTTGAAATCTAGTTTCCTGTTTGGGAAAAAAAAAAAATCAAGGTTCAGCAGTCCTTTTCCCCTTAGAGAAGACAAAGACTGCTGCAATGGAAATTTCCTGCTAATTCCATGAGGACATGTTGGCGTCAGCT